CACCGCCTCTGACATTGAATGGGATGGAGGGGTCGAGTCTCTCATTCTCTCTTCTTCATCCATCACACCATCCCTGTCTTCATGGAGGATGTAAATGGCTGGATTCTGTCTTTTTCACCGGTCTCTGGTTCAGCATCACTCATAGCATGCAGCTATTAATATTACAAATATTCAAATAACTTTATTTAACATTCATAGGAGTGGTGGACAGTGGAAAAATTCACTAGCTGCTGACTGTTACTGGAGTTACTGGAGAGAAACATGTTGAAACGGACAGATGGATCCAGTTATTAATGTAGTAATCATTTGCGGTGTTGTATAACTGAAGGTTTGTGTTGATCTTTTTGCTGGCGTCAAACATGCACACACTGACTTTAACATACAGATGGCCTTTATAAACAATATTAAATCAGTTAAAGCAAGATGCAATGTTGAACAGAGATTTTCAGTGACAAATGGCTTGTTTCTTACACCTAAATATCATATGAGCTACTTTTATGTACCTTTTGCAGCTTGATGTTTGCAATCCTCATTCATTTTCTTTGTTTCTATTGGTCAACCTCAAAAGATATTACAAGTTTGGAACACCATGAGGATGATTTAATTTTGGAGTGAACTAACCCTTTAATATTGCTTCTGCCAAGCATAATTGCTTTTTCTGATAATTGTGATCTTGTGCACAGATAATCTCTCTGTGATATCTAAAAATAGTTTAGATAATTATTAGCACAGCATAATCTTTCACACTTATTATAGTAAACGGATGGAACAAATCAGTGCCATTCCTCTCTCCACTTAGTCATTATGGCAAATTCATTTTTCAAAATTATTGTTCCGTTTTTCATTTGCTTTGAGATCCTTCAATTATTTTGACTTCATATTTTGGCCATCTGATTTGTTGGCCATAAATATACTTGAAAGCAGGTTTTAAAATTACTTCTGATAATGTTTGGAAGGTGATGCATATAATTAGTCTCACTTCAGAGATGCAAATGATGTTGCTTTATTTAAATATTCATTCTGATAGGTCAGTTTCCAAATGAGATTATCTTTTCTGCTGTCAGCCTCTTCTAGCATTAATGCGGAGATTAAAAGCTCACTTGGGCTCATTATATTATAAATGCATCTGAATTATGCACATACATAAAGTCAATTGATTAAAACAACATGTTGATAGTTTTACTTGTTTGGTTTATTTAAATGAATTTCTCAGGCTCTCAATCTTTTATTTTTAATTGTTGGTTTGTTTAATATTAAAGGAGTCATATGACATTGCTTAGAATAACATTATTTTGTGTATTTGGTGTAATGCAATGTGTTTGCGCAGTTTAAGGTAAAAAAAAAAACATTATTTTCCACATACTGTACATTGTTGTTGCTGCTCTCTGCCCTGCCTTTCTGAAAGCTATCCAGTGCGTTGTGATTGGCCGAATACCTCAAGCATGTGACGGAAATGTTACACCCTTTACCATATTTGGAAACTCACAGTGTCCCTATGACATGGCGGCGGCAACAATACTACATATAAATAAAAGTTACGCCTTCTTTCTTTGCGTAAACATTTGGGCGGTATTATGCAAATCGTCACACACAGTGATGTAGATTTGTGGGGGCGTATTTGAATGAGGCATATTGGGAAGGCGTGGACGAGTCTTAACTTTTATAAAGAATATCTCTTTGGGTTTGAGACTTTAATCTTTGTGAATTTATGGATCTTATATATGCACGAACAGTTTTTTTTAATGAAAAATGTCTTCAAGTACCTATATGATAGTGTTGAAAGGTCAACAAAGCAAAATAAAATAATAATAATAATAATAATAATAATAATAATAATAGTAATAGATAATAGTAATATAAAAGTATTAACAAGAAAATCTTAATTATTAGTTATATACAAACTATAACTATAATAAACCACTAATAATTTAGTTATTATGCTATATCTTAACATCTCTTTGCAGAGGAGGCTAGGTATTGCATTTTCATGTCAACATAACACTATTTGTTTCTGTAGAGAACATCACTAAGGGCGGCAGCGCTGGCCAGGATGAGGCCGTTTGGGTATTGTGACTGCTGCCGCCTTCAAAAACATTCCCACAATGCACCGGGGCTTTTCACAGCACGCCAGTTGGTTTGTATGAGCGGGAAAAGTGGACAGAGGTATTTGGATTGTGAAAGAGAGTAGAGGTGGCCTTCATTCTGTGAGCGTCTGAATGAAGAAATCAGGAAAAGGCAGGAAGTCTGCTCATGTGTGGTGCATTCAGAAGCTTCCTTTCACTTTCTCAGAGTGCCGTTAGAGCCGACATTAATACGTTATTAGAGTGTACAAACACACACAGTCTAATGATGGCCGTCCGCACACTCGCACGCTGTGTGAAGTCACCTTGAAACCCAATTAAAGAGCTCTCTGACCTCTCTGAGCTCTGGGCCCATTATGTGGCTTGAGAAAAGGCCATGGTGACAGGACAAATGAAAAAGAGACACCGAGAGAAAGAGACAGACGGGTTAGAAAGGCTTCTGGCATGAGAGTCTCGCTCTTAATGAAGAGCCACATCACCTCATCATCCACTTCCTCTCGTCTCTTGCTTCCCTTCTTCACTGTGGGCTGCTTTTCTGAATTCGCTCCTTTTTTTCTGCTCTGATTGACTAGTAAATTAAACTCGATGACACACAGATAGGGGCAGAAAGTTTAGCAGATGCTTGTAGGACTCTTCGTTTTCTTTCTGTTGGTCGATAAAGTCTCACCACTGCTTGGTTTGACGCTTCAGATCCATTACTGGCTGCTAGGGTTGGGTGATATATTAAATATTTGCAATATATTCAGTGTTATTTTGTGTTGGCGATGTAAAATGGAGCAACATCATGAATATTGTGATGATATTCCATCATTAGGTTTTTTTAGGCCCGTGCCAGTAGGCTGATTTTGTGTCATGACTCGTGATTTTGAGAACGCTAAGACAGCGATATTATAATGGCGTGTCTGATTTAATCTCAGTTGCAAAAGTGCTGATAGAGTTGGGAAGTTTGATTCATTTCCATGAATCAGTTATTTTGAACTGTCCATTTGAAGTCGCAGCATGGCATTTTGTATAATTTTAGAGCAAAATGCCATATATATATATGTCCAAATGTATTTGGACGCTAATGCCTCATTTAAAATTGCTTTCCTTTGCATTATACTGCTCAATATAAAACAAATAGCACTTATGTTAAGAAGATGGTAGAAGGACTTTTCAAGCCAAAGCTTTTAGAAAAGAAGTTTGTTACATGTAAAATATATGAATTGTTCAAAATTCTGAGTTTAAACTATTTTTTAATCTAATGCAGTGTTATTTAGAATCTTTTATGTGTGACTTACTGTAAGTGTGTAAATACAATTTTATTGCCACTGTACATTAGGGCTGTCAAAAACAATGTGAATTTCGAATATTCGTCGAATTTAAAATAAAAATCCACATTAGAATGCAAAAACGTTGCATTCGAATTTTAGGAGTGCGTTAAGGAGGCAGCCTTATCAGTGGCGCACGAGATGCGATGACGATGTAAGTTCCATTGCATTTTAATGTTTTTGTTAGCGTTTCCAGTATCCAGAAGCCACTAGATGCGGCGCTGCTGCGTTGTTAATTACAAATATTGTGGGAAAAGAGAACATCAATGTGGAGAAGATCTTGTTTACATCAAAACTGAAACCAAGCCGTTCACACAGAACGCATATTTCGCGCATTTTCTAGAAGGACATCTATCACCGTTGCACTCGCGTCTCGCACAAAAGAGCCACATGTTTAGAAAACCATGTAAAATTAATGCACCCATCCCACTGCAGCTCATATTTTTAAATGAAAAATGTACTCTGTGTGTGTCAGACTTTGTTCCTTGTTTTGTGTGTGTTTTGCTCCCCATGTGCCTTCCTTGCCCTTATTTGGTTATCTTCCTGTTCCTGCTCCCTGATTGTTTCTCATTTGATTCCAGGTGTGTCTGTTCTGCCCCTGAGTAAGTTGTGTATTTAAAGTGTTTCCTGTTTTGAGCTCCTTGTCCAGTATTGTTCATCCGAGTGCTACGTGTGTTTTCCGTGTTCCCTTGAGTTCATTAAAATCTCTCGATTGATGTACTCCTCGTCTTCTTCGTTCCTTGCTCCGCACTCCTCACAGTAGTGCAACCGTGACAGTGTTTCCGCCCTTTGTATTAAACTATGCATAAATACATGATGCTGTTTTGTTTATAGTTGTTTAAGCAGCTTAATTAATTATAATTGGTTTATAAACATTATTTGAAACATTATGCACTTTTTTTTCACAGATAGTCATGTTATCTTATGCTTTGAATAAACGTGCATTAGTAATATTTTGCTCAATGTGCCATCTTGTGGCCTCAGGAGAGAAGCCTAAAGCTTTTAGCCATTTTGACAGCCCTACTGTACATCATATTTAGTGAATATAACAATTTATTTAGATATTTATATAATATGAAGTGCATATCTTAAATGTTATACATTAATAAATTATTAATAATACATTTATACAAGTTTATTTTTCTGCAGTTTGTTTTAAATCAGCAGTATATGTAGTATGTCACACACAGTTCACTTAGCTCCGTCCAACATGTCATCATGGTGGAGTATGAACCATATAATCTGCATGTTGAACTCATGTGTCTTTTTGCCCTGGGGAGCTCATCTCACGGCTCGCATTAGTAGTCATAAGCACTGCTGCTCTCCATCGCTGAGGTTATTCAAGATGGAGAGTGGATTATATGACACTTCTTCAGGTATTTTAAATTGTTTTCAGTAGGAATTTACCCAATATATATCTCTTATACATCTTATGTTTAAGAACATTTTGTAAACACAATTTTTAGGTATTTAGGCCTATATGTGGTGTAAACAGTATCTTTCTTTTATTACACTTAAAGTAAGTAGTATCTACCTGTTTTTACAATTCATAGGCTGTTGCCCTCTTTTCCATACAATCAAATCATATTTATTAAGCTTCAAAAAAGACTAAAAATAAGCCTGAAAGCACTCCATATAACGTGCACTATATTTCAAGTCTTCTGATGCCATAAAGTATTTTTGTGAGTAAAGGACCAAAATTTAAGGCATTATTTAATGAAATTGTTCTCATTAGCCATAGCTTTTCAATTACATTCGTATTTGTGTATGTTAAAATATGGTGTGAGAGAATGCACCATGTGTTAAATACCACATCTCTCATAATTGTGGGCTAGATTTTAATATAAGGAAGTGCAAAAGAAATAGAGCTACAGTAGAAGATTTTCAGTAGTAAACAACCCAATGTTTGGCCTGAAGCTGGTTGCCCAAGGAAGTCTTGCTAGATAACTGTCGGCATGCTAGAAGCCCATGCTGGGGATCCAGACCCCCAGAAGTGGAGGCATTTATGAATGCTGGCAAATATTCATGATATATTCAGTGTTATTTGTCAGTAATGACAAATTATTCAATGTCTTCAATGATGTGAAGATTTTTATCATTAGGTTTTCTGAACACTGTACAACTTGTGCATTTGAGAACGCTAAGACAGCAATATTATGATAATGTCTCTAATTTCATCTTGCAAAAATGCTAATAGACTTGGGAAGTTTGACTCATGAAGTTTGAATCACTCTTTCTCTCCTACACTCTTAAAAATAAAGGTTATTTATAGACATCCACAGGTTTTATGAAGAACCTTTAACATCCATGGAATCTTTCCATTGCACAAAGGTTCTTTACACCGTGTCCTAACTACACTCAATGATGTGACACATGATAAAAGGTATCTGTTCCATGTTAATCAGAGTTTTTGTCCTAACCAGCTGCGACAACGACAAGTAACATTTCTATTTTAGAAACGGTCGTGACTGGAGCAACAACATACAAACTATGACAGTGAAAATCTCAGGTACGGATTATGTGCTTTATTCAAAGTTAAACATTTCTAGTGTGAGTTTGAATATTATTCTGCATGACCTTGGCTATAAATGTCACGCAATATGATATTCAAACTCACATTAGATGCGTTTAACTTTGAACAAAGCACATAACCAGTACCTGAGATTATCACTGTCATAGTTTGTATGTTGTTTTTCCAGCTGTGACGTCGTGGAAATAGAAGCCGTTTCTAGAAAATAAATGTTGTGTGTCACCGTCACAGCTAGTTAGGACAAAAACTCTGATTTAGGCCTACATGGAAAATATACCTTTTATCGCATGTCGCGGCATTGCATTGCGTGTAGGTAGAACATGGTTTAAGAACTGTTCTCTGGCTCTGTTTGCAAGGTTCTTTGAACAACCAAAACCAAAATAGTTATTCTATGGCATCACTTTGAAAACCTCCATTTGGAACATTGTTTTTAAGAGTGTAGAATATGTAAGAATGCTGAAGGACTAGTTAATCCAAAAAACACTCTAGCTTTTTACTTTTTTACCGTCACTTGTCAGCTTTGACCCGTCGTTTTATGTTCAAAGCGAGTTAAAGAAGCAAAATGCACATATCAAGTGACAGGTGGGCGAGAACATAACTCAATATTGTCGCACCAGGGGTCCTCAGATCTGTAACTGCTTCTGGGTGGTTGCTGGGACTCTCTCGGCAGTCGCACATCAGGGGCCCTTTTTGCCCCGGTTTGGCGACGTCCTCGCAACCGACAGCATTTCAGTGAAAAATTATTGATCACAGAGCGGCATTGAGAGTGACTGCGAGGATCCCCTGCCACGGCTGCCTACTTCAAATGCCTGCACAAAATATCAAATAGCTGTAGGAAAATGAAAGAGGCAAGGGGATGGTCGTGACTGTAAAAATCAGGAGAAAGGGAAATGAGTAGTGTACTGACAATCCCTAACTGTGTTTTAGTTTACGTGACAGTTAGTATTCATGAATGCTGAATTAGCACAGGCTTCTAGTTTTTCTTTCTCCTTATTCCTGTCTGGATCGCTCTCTTGATCTTTTTCGTTCTGGAGATGCATGTGTTGCTACAGCAGACAGCAAAATTGCATGTACTGTATATAATCACACTGTGCCAAACTGTTGGAACATTTTTACTCTACCAGAATCTATTCATCTGACAATTCTGTAAAAATACATTCTGAGGATGCTAAGATAATGACTTTTCCAAACAAGTTTATCCTCTATAGATACAGTTTGTAAGAAGGTTTCGGCCACTTGTAAAGGAAAACAAATTTTGGAAGACTGAGAGAAATATTTGACAGGTTTGACTATTTTAACGACAGAATTCATGCTGTAATGCTACTGTATATTTTGCACTTAAAATACCAAAAATCCATAAAAAATAAGCCAAAAGAAGGATGCTTTGGCTGCAAGCAATTCAGTAACATTTACGTCTGTGGAACCATAACTTAAATGCATATGTCTATAGCAGACATTTCACTACAGATAAAATAAAATGACACAAAATTATTCTTCACTGGTCATGAAGCTCTTTTTTTTTATTTTTATAATAACCACACTCTTTATTTTTATCCATACAATTTATTTCAGTTCACAAATAATTTATTTATATTTTTTGTATTTATTTTATTTACTATTTATTATTTTTTAATCATTTAAAATGAAGTGAAGTTGTGCCAATTAATACAGTGTGTGTGTTTTCTGAACACTTTAAGGTACACATCTAGACTATGACCCGAATGCAACAAGGTGATTTTTTTATTTTTTTTTTGGCATATTTTTTCCTGGTGGCAGGCAATAAATATTCAAAACTGGGTTTCTGGCCTAATTCAAAGTGCAAATAAACTTTTTGGCATGTTTTTGTTGCTGAAATAGTTAGGCCTACATCGGTTAGGTATTTCCTCTTAGCTGTCAAAAGTCAAAGCCAGTCTGCAGATCTTGGACAGTCTGAGAGAGTTGACTGATTTCAATCCATCCAGTCTGAGGATATCAAACATATTTGATCATTTGAGCCAATTTTAGAACACCCATTGTTTTCAGGTGTTATGATTCTCCTAGCAACGAGGCTCACGTTTCTGTGTGAGTTTTTTTGTGTTTGGAAAGACGTGTATGAATCTCAATTATTTACTGTATAATGCCCAGTTTTTCTGTAACTATTTACAGTAAATATTTAAGTTAACTAGTATATGAAGTCATGTAGTGTATCCCTGCAAAATGATTACATTCTTAAAGATGTGCAAACAGGATTCAGTGGCATTCCGTGGGGAAAAAAACGCACATTCTTAATGGCCACATCTGTACTTTCTATAGCTCATACCAAAATCACTTTCAAATCAGCAGCTTTCCAGTCATCAATGCTGTGAATTCATGTGACTAACTTGAACCCATTGAGAAATCTGCATGCATGGGGAAATCCTTCGCCCTCACTCAGATTTCCCAACCATGTGGATTCCTATTGAAATGACTGGCCAAAGAGTGTCTGATTCGGTTAGAAGTGCCAGCTAAAATTCAAATACTTGACAAAATACCTAGAGACAGACAATGGTGTAAATCAAGGGTAAACACTGGCAATGCTTTTACAAGATAGGGGAATGTTTGAGTTTCAATTGAGATGCTGAAGTTGCAGAGTTTTTGCCACACATGCCAGTTCTGTACTGTCAAGCCCCTGATAAAATAGTAAGATATTGTAAGAACGAGCATAATCATTAGGATGTATTATGTGTAAGGGGCATTTGCAGAAATTGCACACTTTACCTTTACGTTGATGCCCATAAATATTTAAGTTAATGTAGCTACTAGTGTTGTCACGGTACCAACATTTCAGTATTCGGTACCAATACCAGTGAAAATCCACGGTTCTCTGTACCAATTTCGGTACCAAAGCAAAACACAAAAACATGCTAATTAAAAAATGTGACTATACTTTCATTTAATCCAAACTGTGTACATATGTAATTTTAAAGGGCTTTTGAAAACCTTCTAGAGTTATTCAGCTAAGAATAACAACTAACTAAGTTAGCTTAAAAAAAAAAAAAGCCCAGAACTGCTTTTCTGACTGATATGACACAAACAATGTTAGCCATTTGTACATTCTCTAACACGCATATTTTATATTCACAATTCATCTAAAAGCCTCTGGTGTGTAAAAATAGTAAATATCATCATGTCCTCCTGTTTTTTTTTTTTTACCCTAATAAAAGTTATAGGAGCATTAAATAGTTAATAAAGAAACTTCATTCTAATGCTCATTATATTAGCGTTAGCCGCGCTTATGCTAATGATTAACTACTCTAATAACAGCGTCATTTCAATCAATATAAAATATTGAATAATATTCATAACAGAAGCGGTGTTTCCCACAGAAACACAAGATCTAAATGTTAAAAATTAAAATTAAACTTATCTGCTTGAACTCTTTCATTTGATCTGGGTGTCTGTCTTTAAAGTGTTTTGTTAGTTTGATGTGTTTCCTCATTTTGATGTCGCCACGTCTCAGTGCTTTTATGAAGAGAGCGCATCTGCGCACCTTTCGGATAGCGCATCAAGGACCGGATTTACCGGGTACTCGGTACCACCGGTACTTAAAAAAACCTGGTACCGTAACATTTTCATTTTTTTAGTACCGACTTGGTACCCATTAACTTTAATGGGTTTAGGTATCAATAGTTTGTGAGGTTAGTGATAACACATGGCTGTGTCATTCAATTTCACGCCTGGGTGTCCTATCTGATCTGGGAAAGCAGATCTGTGGATGGGAATGAAGAACTATGAATGGTTTCCAGATGAATGTCCTGATGAGGCCAAGGGCAGAACATTAGACCTGGTTCAGGTCTCGAAAAGTTTCCTTACTAATTTTGAGAAAAGAGTATCAAGTTATTCTGAGCTGTTACAAATATGCGCAACATGTTCCTGAACATTAAGATGTTCTTGAAGGTGAATACTTGCAGAAACCCGACAACATCGCCTCAGGTGTACAAATGAGATTTATGGTGCACTGTCGCAGGGCAATAACTGTAATATTTCTCTTTCTTCTCTTCTCCTTCTTGTCTTTCTTACCCTCCTTTGATTTGCCGAAGGCCGACAGAAGAGAGAAAGGTGGTGGAGATGTAAT